GTGCACCCAGAAGGCACGCGGGAGCCTGGCAGCAGCGCTCATCCTAAAGTCCAGTGGGATTTGAGTGTTCACTGCCCGTGAGATCGGGCATCCCAGCAGAAGGCTCCGTAAGTGAAATGCCTTTGCAGGAGACAGAGCTGGTGAATAATGCTCTGTTCATGGCAGAAGCGAGCAGTTCTGAAAAAAAACACCGTGGGAGGGACAGTGGTAAGGGAGCTCCTCGCAAAGGCTCTCGCTCCTGCCATCGTGTCCAGGGGCAGCGGTCAGCACACACACCTCTGTTCACAGCTGGACATGGCTGAGTTGTGGCAGTCGCCAGCCGGGACGTGCCGTGCCCAGCAGGGATCAGCACAGAGCACGAGCAGCAGCACAGGGCACTGCAGGTCTGAGCATCCCTTCCCACCGCAGCCAGGGAGGGGATCTGTGCAACTCCCAGGCAGTGCTCCGTGGCATTCCCCCCTGCAGTAACAAACTTACGGCATGGAAGCAAGTTGGCAAACCGTGTAGGAAAGTTCAGCCACTCATATTTAAATGGGCTGTTATAATTTGACTCACTGCTCTGGGCAAGGAGTTTCCATGCTTGGTTTCTAACATCCCACAGGGCTCTCGCTCGCGGCTGAGGCGGCGTTGGGCAGCTCAGTGCATCCCCTCTGCTCCTCCACATCCAGCACAGCAGCACCCAGCCTACATCTTCTCGGATGCATCTTCCAATGCTTAAAATGGACAGATCGTTTCCTTTGCTGTTTACTCAGTTATTTTTGCTCACACCTATGTTGCAATATGCAAGGTGAGGCTCAAAACTGTCAAGCTCTTTAATAGAACCATTACTGTATTTTTGGAGAACGTTCTCTTTTTGATTTACTGTTCCTCAGAAGACAGGAAATGGAGCTACTTGATTTCATACTTTAAACAAAGCCGTCCAGAGGTTTAATGAAAAAAATTTCCCCTGGCTTTCGAATTAAAGCGCTATGGTGAAAGATTTAGCTTGGCTGTTTTGACTTAGAAAAATAACATACTAGAGGCATTAAAATCTTTTGTAAAAATACTTCTTAGCACTAGATTTTTTGGAGGAGAAAATAACCTGGTTTTCTCAGCCTCTGTCGCTAAGGCTAGCTGTGAAACAAAGGGAAGCTTCCAAGGCTGGGGTGTTTTTCTTTCCTTCTGTAGAATTTATTTTCCTTTTCTATTAAAAGCCTTGAAACAATTGCAATGTGAAAGACAAATCCTGTGCTTCTAAGCAAGGTAATTTGGTATGAGTGATGGCAGAGCCTCTGCCATGAGGACAGCGTGAGGCGTGTTGGGCAGAAGGATGCAGGGCCCAATCCTGCACTGCTGCATTCAGAGCAGCTCTGCTGGGAGGCCGACATCAGTGGGAGGACATGGGTGGGAGATTGGTACTGGGAGGAAATGGGTTTTAATGGGAAAGTTTTGTGTATGGAGCAGGATCAGCTGGGAGTGTTTGGGGCAAGGGAAAGCTAAACACGCCGGGATTGCAACACAGAGCACTTTTGACCTAAATGTTTAAGCCAAGGTTTCTGCTTGTTCCCTTTCGTTTGGTTTGACGTTGGTTTGTGTTTGTAGTGCAGTGGGTCTGGGAGGCAGGGGGCATGGCACAGAGCTGCCGATGCTCTTCATTTCCACCCGATTTCAACTTCAGTAAATAAGGAGAGAAGGAAACATCCTGCCAGCCTGAAAGCACCGCGCCGTGGGCTGAAGCACTCACACACATTTAGCCGGTGCCATTTTTTTTCAGGGACTTCAGTGAGGTTTCACCAGGATTTCACAAGTAGCTGCTTGACTACAGTAGCACCTGATTCGCTTTGAGTTTTCTGCACAGATTGCTGCTTGTGGGTGGAACTGGCTCCACCATCAGGTGCCAGTTTTGGGGACAGCAGAAGGGCCAGTTGTCACACAGCGCGGTCGTGCACCCGTGGCTGGCTGTAGGGTTTCAGCAGTTGGTCGGGGACGTACCTGTAGCCACCTGCCTCCCTTCAGCCTTTGTAATCTCAGGTCTGCAGCAGTGGGATTTGGGGAGAGGGACGCTGCCCTGAGACTGATTTGTACACTTCCCTCTGGCCGACGATGAGAAATTTGATACGTTATCAGCTGAGATGCTGGGACTGACAAAGGGAGAGCGAGGCAGCCAGAGAGAGATTACAATTTAATAAATAGCAAAGATAGGGTTAGCCACTATCAGTTTAAGTTTAATACCATTAGCCCTTGTGCTGGTGGTAGTGATGTATGTAGGACAAAGCACCCAGAGGCTCCGGGGAGTAACCGGCCCGTCTGCGGTTTCAGGCACTTGGCAGGAGAATTTCCCAAGGTGTAAAAATACCCAGGATGAATCAGAATGATAAAAATGATTTCTCTCTGATACTTCTGCCGACTGTCGGTGCAGCAGCAAAAAGCATAGGAAAAGCTCTCCTAATCAGTCTCATTTTTCCCAAAACAGATTTTTGTGTTTCTTTTCTTTTTTTTTTTTTTACATAGGAGGGGCACGGAGGCAGTGCTTGGTGCTGTGTGGGACCTGCCTGCTCTGAGCAAAGTCCCTTTCTCCCCGCAGCAAGTTGGGGAATTGTGACAGGACACCCAGATGGGAATGATGCTGCCAGACCTGCGCTCGTAACACGGAAAGGGAGTGCAAAGGGAGGGAAGATAAAAACCTGAGCGTCAGCAGCCTTTTGGTTTTTTACAAGAAAGCTTTCTGTGCAGTTAATCCCTCCAACCTGCATCTACATTAACACTTGCACCTCACACGTTGCTGCTAAGAAGTTTTGGCAGCTCCTGGCCCTGATTGCAGAGGTAACGCTACACTTGTCTCCTTTGCTCTCACTCAAGTATCTCTGGAACCAGAGACCAGCACTCTCCGAAGTTTCTCCTTGTACACGTATGCAGTCAGCTTGGCAGAGCTTCAAAAGCCATTTGCCTTATTATTCATATGTCTGCTTATAGGAGCAGAAATGCTCCCATTTCTCACTTTCAAAATAAGAGCAGACCCCAGCAGAGAAGAGATTTCTCATCGGTGTTTCTGGCACAGCAGTGTGAGCTCATCACTGCCCTGCTGGGTGTGGGGAGCGGAGTTAGAAGCCCCCGATAGGCAGGAGGGCACATGAACAGCCTTATGGAGAGCACCCAAAATCAGCAGGCTCCTGAGGTATGAGCAGAGCGGGGTCTTGGGGTCTCACAAATCCCTATGAAGGATGACTTGAAAAAGGAGGCTTCAAAAAAGACCAAATTTTGCTTTTCCTCCTGCAGCAAGGATGGCTGACAACGTGGAAATGTTGCAGAGACTCAGACATAATAGAAATTACTTAGCCTCCTCGCTGCATTTTCTCAAACAAGCTTCAAGAACCCTTGCCTTTAAACAAATTAGGAGACTGAAGTAACCTTATAAATCCAAAGACCCATTAAAAGTTGAAATATTTGGTCATTCCTCCTCTCAGTTCAAACTGGGATTCATCCAGAGTTCAAGTGCGTGTATCTCACGAGAGCCACGGTCCCATTTTGTAGAGGTCCATTTCAGTGTTGATGGTTTTCTAGTGCCAGGAATCTACTCTGCAGCCAGGCAGGGAGATAAATCAAAGCTGTGCGCGCTGATGAAATTCAGGAGCCAGAAGTCACCATTGCAGCCCATATAAATCCCTGGATGCCAGCCCTTGTGCTTTTGTCCGTGCCATTAGAGTTCAGAATTATCTGCCCCTCTTTGCTGATGTATGGATTAACCGGCTGCCCGAGTGTTTACTAACGGTTATCACCCGGTACTTTGGACGTTATCAGAGGAAGGGACGCCTGCCGCAGGGCTCGGTCTCTCACCCTTTCTATTACCACCTGTCAGTGGCAGAGAGTGTGCTGTGAAGCTGTACAGTCACAGAGCACAAGTGTAGATAGTTTCTGACGGCTGATCAAAGGGGAAAACCAAAGGCCTGATAACAAGGACGTGTTTCATGTACTTTTAACTTTGAGAAACATTGGCATTTGCATTTTTTTTTCCCCTCTGCAGGCTGGCAGAAACCAGGCACAATAAATACTGCGTATTCAGTTACCTAATAGTGGGGTAAACGGTATGTGCTTGAAGCAACAAAGCCTGACTGCAGCCTTGCTCCAAGTGGGAATGGCTTCAGAAGTCTCTGCAAAAGACTTGCTGTACAACAAAGCAGAATGATTTTAATTTGTACTTCGAAGTGATCTTGAATTCAGAATCTAATCTTTGCATTCGGCAGGGCATCTTATACTGCTGTGAATGAGGTAATAACTGTAAGCCAAAGGGTTCCTTTCAGTGTCTCTGTAGCTGCATGCGCTCCATCGTAGCCAGCATCCTGGTAAAGCTCTGCTGATGAAAGGGTCTCTGTTAGCTCCAGTTTCAGGTAACATTTCCCAGTGCAGGGACAGAAAATCCACACAGCCAGGCTGAAAGCAGGGCTCGCTGTTTTCCTTCAGTATCTATACCTCAAGCACCAAACAAAGCAAGCAGGCTGGTTGCCTTTCCCTCACCGGTGCAACTCTGCACAAGAGCAAGAATGGGACAGAAACTGCAGTTTGTGGCCAGCGGAGCACAGGGGAAGGTGCTCGACAGCAAAGCAGTGAAAGACAAATCAACTTTCAGACTGATTTCTACTTGTCTAATGTACTTAATAACCTCTGCAGGTTTTTTTACAATTCCTGATTCTCTTGCCATTTGGGGTCATTGTTCTGATCGCAGTGACTGGTTGGAGTGCTGGTGGGGTCATTATGCTGGTTGGGAGCTTTTCCCAGCTCTCGCTATCAAGAGACCAGAACTGTCTGTGTTTGCAATTTAACATTTTTGCTTAAAGCTTCCACGTACCTGGGTCCCTGCTTGCTCCTCCGGTGCTGTTAACGCCAACATTTTAACTAACATGCAAAAATTAGCTTTTCAGGAACTCCAAACGCGAGACCTTCTTTCTTTCAAATGCCATAAGTATTATAGATGGAAGTGCTGTGGTCCCAGGGTCTCCCGAACATCTCCCATTTGTTTGTTGAAGGTGCCTTTGACCGGAGCGTGACCCTGCTGGAGGTGTGCGGGAGCTGGCCCGAGAACTTCGGTCTCCGTCACATGTCTTCCATGGAGCACACTGACGAGGGCCTCCGGGAGCGCCTGGCCGATGCGATGTGCGAATCCCCCAGCAGGGACATAGTGGGATCAGGAACAGGTACAAAGAAGAGGTGTGATCAGAGATCACGTACATCTCACCCAATGGTGATTTTTATTTTTATTTTAAGCTTTGCTTCTCTTTTTCCTCTGCGCTCTACCTCTGACTTTACGGGGGTCTCGGTGTGAGAAAAGTCAGAAGCCGCTGCTAGGTCACATAAATGTAGTCAGGGAGGCCTAAAGGGACGTGAAATAAAATGCTGGCTTTAAGCTCCCTGGCCCTGCTGCGGTGATGAGGATGCTCCTCCCTCCCCAGCCAACACAGGAGCGTCGCCAGGCTCTGTGCAGATTGCTGCCCTTGCCCACGCTGATCCAAACAATGTCATAATTGCACACATCCTAATTTTGTGTCCTGAATAGAGCCGTTGTGAAACTGGTTCCGTAATCCAAATTAATCCATCTTCATCAGTGTCCATTATATTGATAAATTATATCATCTGTTTAAGTAAATGGAATGGCACGTCAGAGATTATGCTGCTCAGAAGGGGCCCAGCGGTAGGAGATGTTCAGAAATGTGAAAGCTCAGTTGTTGTGGTTTTATTGTCTCCATTAATTTTGACTTGTGTTAAAAATGCCCTCTAGTAAAAGGTCTAGGCCCATCTTTGATGTGTGCACCGTTTGTGTTGTGACCAGCAGCTCACAGCCATGGTGGCTTCTAACGTCAGCTGCCAGCTCACTTGTCACTCTTTTGGCAGACTGCCTGGGAAGGAGGAAAGGAGGAACTCAAGCAGTAATGTAGGGCTATGCCAACCTCCTGACATCACAGAGAGGCTGCGTAGGGCAGGAGTTGCTCTTCCTTGCCCTGCTGTGAGCACTCTTAGCTCTGCGCTGCTCCAGCTGGAAGAGGCTCAAGGGCTTTCCCATCAGGGCTTGTCCCTCACTTTGCAACTCACAGAATCGCAGCAGGTCACCACACTGCTGCCACCTCCCACTGACAGGAGGAGATTGAAAATCAGCAGTTGAAGTCCCTGCATGTAGGTGCAGGCAGCAATAAGCAAGCTGCCGCGGGGTGCAGATCACCCTTTCTACCCCAGCTTGTCATTTCTCAAACTCCTTCCTCTGTAGTGCTACTGCTGAAGAAGATGCAGTCATGGGATGGTTTAAGATTCAGTATTAACAGAGAAAGGTTGAACTGAGCACTAAGTATGGGTCTCGGTTACAAATCTGGTGCATGTTCTCGGTAGTTTGCTGCCTTGGACAAGGCACTGAACATGCCCATGGTTGCTCCATCACTGCAGTGGGAATAGAGATGCCTCACGTTGCAGGTGTGGAGTTTAAGAGGCTCCTGTTTTCAAAGGGCTGTGAAGATGGAAAACCAGGCTGTGCAAATGGAGAAATGCACTTATTTCATCACTTAGTGACCCATACTGTGAGCAGAATGAACTTCCTCAGATGGATTGGCTCCCCTCAGGTTGGGTACCTGAGGGGAAAGGTCAAGGGAATAATTTCTCTGCAAACTGAAGCTATCTAGATGTGACAAGTTGAGGTTACTGACTGCCCCAGAAACTTTATATTACACTGCAAAACAAGGACTTTGTCAGGGTATTTTCCTTCCTGTATTTTCCTTCCATTTTCACCAGTGCAAGCCAGCTGACACCAGTGAGTGCCAACTTCTTTGTTGTAAGCTCAGAATACTGCAGGTGTAAAGACAGAAGGGGACTGTCTACAGAGATGCCATCAATCAGCTAAGATTTCCCCCTGCTATTGCTTTAGACACATAAATCCTCATCATGAGTGTAGGATAGATGCCATCTCAAAGCAGCAAATGTAATCACCGTCGCACAGTAGTAACATGAGCACTGACCCAGCTCACCCCATCCCACTGCCCTGCTCACACTGCCGTTATGCTCTGTGTTCTTCTGCCTGCTGTGGGATTCTCTCTGTCACTAACGCACATTATTCTTAGGATATGGGCATGTGGTGACTCAGTGCAGCCGAGGAAACCTAGTGATAAGGCTGTGAACTCCCATGCCCTTTCCACTTCCATTCCCTAGCAGCTCTTGAACTGTTCTTCTTAACCAGATGCCCATAAAAAGTACTCTCCTGCTCTGCTGATACCTGGAAAGCTGCACTTGCTCAGGGAGTCGACTGTTGCTCATGCAACATGCGTGACTGCACTCCCGGCAGGCTGCCAGCGGCCGTTTGTCAAACTGGGGATCGCATTAAAGCGCTAGCATCTGTCTGCTGCTTAATAAATGGGAAAAGATAAGTTCGGAGGTACGGTACCCCTGCTGCAAAGAAGAGGTGTCTTTGTTGGCTCCTAACAAGTAGGATAGTTTTAACTTCCCCCAAATCGCTTACAAGCTCAGGCTGAATTGAATTTATCTTCGGAAAACATTCTGTTTTCTGGCCCAGCTCTTCCTCCTCTGGATTCCCTTCCACCCACTCACCTCAGAGAAACGATAGCAAGGAGCTCAGCAGAGAGGATGCCATAAATTTGCTTGTTGGTAGTTGATTTCTGTGTTGGTACTGCTTCCAAAGACAGTAATTACATTTCTACATTGGACTCAAAATTATGTAATTTATGAACCTCACTCTAATTATCCTAAAATGACTTACTGTAGCTTGGAGTTATGCATGCCTTTAACCCTTATTTCTGCTCCTTTAACTCTTTTTAGACCTTAAACACATTAGTGGAATTTACAAAGTCTTTTTTGAACTGAAACATAGTCAAGTATCTAACTCTGAATGTGAAAGTACATGCTTGCTTGGTGCTCAGGTCCACAGTGTGGACAAAGAAAAAATGGGCAATTGGATGGACTCTGAGACTTTATCAAGTGCTCAGCTGAGCCTGACATGCACTTAGTGGCAAGAGATAAATAGATTCTTTTAATGCCTTAACTGTTAGGACATAGCTGACACGTAGATTTATATAGTAATCAGGGCTGATATGCAGCAGTAGTGCAGAGGAAGCGCATGCTCATAGTACCCAGACCACTTTGGGAAGCAGATATTAATGGTATCTTTGTTCCTTACCTACCCCATTGCATTGCAAAGCTGGATCAGCAGCACCACACTGGTTCAGCGCCCCAAGCTACTGGCTGTGGCAGAAATCACCCAAAAGTTGGTTATATAGGAAACATCAGGCTGGAGGACACAAAAAGCGTGAGTCATAATCCAGCCTTTGCAGGGAAGGGGAATTAGATGGCCTGACAGGTCCTTCCCATCCCTGACTCCGGCTGGTTGCCAAGGGCTGTCGGACTGTGGATGGGAGAAGAATCAGGTCTGGAAAATGACCCCCAAAAAGTCTACTTTCCTTCTGACCTAAATGATAACTCCAGTCATCCAGCTAGTTGACTTGATTGGGAAACCAGCTTTGCTCCATGTTATGCAATTATCCAGACGACCCATGTCTATCTTAAGTGGAGTCTGCTGTACATAAGCTGTCAGCCTGGATACACATTTAATTCCAAAGGAGGCATAAGTTGGCAAAGATGCAAAAATATGTTTTTGCTGTTTCACTTTCTGCCAAATTCTAACTGAAAAAAAAATAATTGAAAATCTACTCACCAAATGTTAGTGGTCAGTGACCTCTTGCTTGCAAAGCTTTGTTTTCAAGCAGCTGCATGTTTACATTTGCAGTATAGTTTCTGAGTATGTGCTGGAGCTCCACACTGCATTTTCAATAACAAAAGCAAAGCTAGTATTGTGATTTATGAAACTGTGCTTCCAAGGGACAGTTCTCAAACTGGACACACAGAAATCTCCAGTCCAGGAGCCCAGAAATGCCATAATCAGTAAATTCTCTTATGTAGTCCTTCAACAAGTACATTTCTTACACTTTCAAATGTACTGTGGTCATCTCTAGGCACAGTACTGAAAATCAGCTGTAACATGGGGCCAGGCCTTTACAGTCTGGTGGAGAGGATGTGCTCTGAACTACACCCATGGAGGACGAGTTCTGCAGCCCCATTTCTGTGCTGAACCTGACAAGACAGATTCCTCTTGCACCGTGCTGCTGGTGTGGTTTCTTCCCATAGAGGCATAGCTTGGGAGGGTCTGTGTACATCCCAAGAACCCGAATTCATGAAGTCTTTGACCACATCCACTTTAGGCGTAGGCTGGCCTTAAAGAAAAGCAGTGGATCTGAACTCCCTGGCTGCCGAGCAGCAGAATGGAGCATGAAACTGCAGCTGTGGCCCTAAGGAGAGGTGCTCAAGCTCCACTGTGCTCCTCTGGGTGTGCTCCACTGTCACATGGCTTAGCAAATCAAAACCCATTCCCTGCATCTTCCCAGGCTTATTACTATGAAGCTCACAGCACAGTGACAGCAGGGTAGATTCATTCTTCAGGAGGCTTCACACAACACCCAAGTTTCCTATGGAGAATTTTCATATATACAATAAGTAAACATCACTGTGCAGATTACTGTCAGGACAGGCAATGCTGCAGACTTTGTGTGCAATGCTTGTGCTGCTGCAACTGTCAGCCTCTGCTTTTTCTACCAGGAACACTCAAGTTTTGTATCTCACAACCCATGCTACTGGTTCTGAACAGGGAAAGATGCAACTGTGGCACCATTGTGATGAATAAAACCCACAAGAGCCAAAGACTCTCTACAACATGAAAAGCAAGGTCTTTCAAGCCCTTTATATAGTTTCCGTCAGGGGAAAAAAAAAAAAAAGAAACAGCAGCAACAAACCCTATTTATTTTCACTTTCAAAACCCCTGAAAACATTGTCAGCTACCAGCGGTGACGGCAGCGGCAGCAGAGGTGTGAGCGCAGCAGAGCCCTGCGCAGGCCCTGCGTAGGAACCTTCTGGATTCCTTCCAGATGTCATCAACAAACTCCTAATGCAATGAAGGAGGCTCATATGTTGAAGCAAACTCTTTAACCTGATTAATGGGGTGTAAGTAAGTGGAGCTAATTAGAGTTGCTGGTAGGGAATGCCCGTCCGAGCACCAGGAGCCGCGTTCCGGCCGCTCTGGCTCCCGGCAGCCATGCAGGGCTGAGCTGTGGCTGTCCCTCAGATGGTCGCCACGGCCCAGAGCCTCATGCAGCTCCTGGCATCTCCAAGCTTGGCAAGCAGGAGCTTCACTTGGTGCTTTTCCTTCCTTCCTTCCTTTCTTCCTCTTTTCTTTCCTCTTCCTTCTAAACTTTCTAAGGTTTTTTTCCCCTCTCTCCCTTCAGTTGGTGTCGGTCCTAACTCAGATGTGGGGAATGCAAGAGCACAGATCAATTGGTTTTCCTTTTGAAAAGCATTTCTGCAAAGAGATTTCTGCATAGGTTCAATGTAAAATCAGCTCAGGCAGCAAACACAGTGGCATATCAAATAACATCGATGCTAAAAGCAGCCTTTGAACTTTCGGAATATTCATCCCAGGGTCAGAGATTAAATTACCCCCTCAATTAAGTCTAAGAGCTCAATGTTCTTCCTACAAAAGGTTTATTTGGATGAGACTCTTTAAAAAAAAAAAAACAAAAATGAAACTTCAGGGCTCTTGAGGAGCCGCCATTTTTGAAGTGCCAGATGAGAAGAGCAGCGTTTGCACTGCACACATCTCGATGTGCTTTTGTCACTTGTTTCCCACATGCAAGGTGCAGCAGCAAAGGCACCAAGGGCTCCTCCTGCCCTGCCCCACTGTGGGGCTCTCGGGGCCAGAGGGCATTCAGTCCCCGCTGCGGCCCAGCACCCGGCTCAGGGCTCGGGGTGGGATTTCCCCCGGGTCCCCCTTTTAGTGGGAGGGGGAGGGAAGGTCGATTCCACAGATGCCTGGTGTGAATTCGGGTTCATTGCTGCTTGTAGAAAATACCTGCTGGTGGTTCTGAGGGGCACGCTGATGCTGAGAGACGACTCTGACTTTCTGCTGTTTGATAACAAGTTGGTCGGCTGTGCTTCTTTCTTCTCGCTCGTGGTTTGGGGAGATTCCTTGTCTCTTTCTTCTTATTAAATCAAGGCACTTTTAAAGAAATATTTTATTTTTGATACAGAAACAGCCGGTGAAGTAGCAGTAAAAAACATCACCACAAAGAGGCACATGGCTTTGAAATGTTTTGGTATGTAACATGACTGTATTGTTCTCAGGTCTGAACTTCTGCACAAAGGCTATTTCTCCTTGCTACAAAAGCAAACTCTCTGTCAGGTTTCCAAGGGTTACGCACATAGCGTGGTTGTAGGGGAACGAAACAAAAAATATCTAAGTGTTTCAAATCATTTTGCAAATAACATTGTTCTGTTTCTCTCCTTAAATGAACAAGAGTTCCTTTGATTTTATTTTTTTTTTTAAGTCAAATTTAGGATTCTGCTGTTCAGAGCAGAGAGGTCACAAGGCCCTAATGTATTTAGCATTGACTGCCCTCTCTTGTAGTGCGTCTATTAGTCAGTAATTTGATTTGTACCTATTCATTTGCAGTCCCTGCAGGAGCTCTGAGCTGGCCCCAAGTATAATTGGTGCTGTCTCTATTTTTACATCATTAGATTAGCCCCGACTCCTGGCCACTTGTTGTCTGCGCTTGTCTGTCCATTTATACAACCTAATGTAACACAAAATTCATTACTGATCACATTACTTTCAACTCTGAAGCCAGCTTTGTGATAAACATTTTGTTAACCCTTTCTTGCCAGCACACAGACCTGGGGGATAAATGCACTTTCCCTTTGCAGAAAAATCAATACCGTAATAAAACAAAGTGCAGTCACATTTCTAGATTTGTTATTCCTCCCAGAGAAAGTAATGGGGAGAAACAAGCACGAGATGACTAAATGATGTCTGTACCCAGGCATCCTGGGCTGCTGTATGCGAAATGAGCTCAGCAGTGTCCTTTCTGCTGGAATATAAAGAAGTGACACCAGATAGGGCCAGCACTCAATTTAAAACTTAATTTCTTACTCATTGTTCTGCAAGTGTTTTAGCTCTTCTGTGCAGGCTGTAATCAGGTTATGACATTATTGGAACTGGACATTTTTCTTCCAGTGCTTTGTCTTCAAGTAGTTAACAGAGAAACAATTCCCTTTCTCCATAGAGATTTGTTATTATGTTGGGGTTTGGTTTGGGTTGTGGTTTTCCTTACTAATCATTAAGCAAATCAGTTTTCCTTCTGCAATAATCCAGCACTTCACAGAAAAATGTGCAGCTCCTTTCTGTCTAGCTTGGTTTTGCTCACGTATGAGTGTTTTGCTGAGCACCTTGTAAAGCATTAAGCTTTTTGCATCACTGAGGCTTCTGCTATCGATTTCAGTGGGAGCAAGAGGAAAGCACGGTAGGTATTCATTTAGGGCTGATTCTGCAGAGAGCTGCGCATCCTAACAGCACTGTTTGCAGTGTCCTGACCGTGAGGTGGTGCTTAATGTTGAGAGAGATGTGGTTTGGTGCATGCAAAAGCTGTGGATTCTTAACAGTTGTGTTTTTTTTTCAATTGATTTTCTGTTTGTACAGCTTGGCTTGGGAATCTCTTATTTGGGGATTTCTAAATATTTAGAAACATTTCTCAAGTTTTTGTTAAATGTTCCTTTTAAAAGCTGGAGTTCTGAAGCATGCCCCACGTCGAGGAGTCCTGCACTGAGCAGGGTGCGGGAGGCGAGACGGCCACATGGGATTTTTCCATCTCTCATTTCTCTAATTACCCTGCTGTTCGTTTTACAGTCTTCACGTCATATTTCTATGTAGGATTCAACTTAAGGCAAGCATGTATTTCTTAGTAAGTAAAGACCCCCCATCTCCCACCGTGTGAAGCGGGTATTTTCACAGCTGTTTGTGAGCCAAATCCTGTTGCAGCTGCTGACGTGATGGCAGAACGAGGACAAGACAGTTCCTCTCTGTCCTCCCAAAGCCAGCAGCCCTGGAGCAGCTCTGGGACAGAGGCTGGGGGTGTTTTGCTGTTCGGGGATGGTTGGGCACACTCTGCTCCCATTTCAGCTTGCTGTGCAGTGCAGATCTGCCATGCATCTGGTGTTAACTCTTTGAAAGTTCGAGCCTTTTGTTATCTCAGAATGGCACGTGGCCAATCTGCCCGCTCCCTGTCCTGCCTAGGGAGAACATGAGTGTCACACCAATGCACAGGAAGGCATCTCCTGTTTCCTTGGTTCGGGAAGCAAGATGGCCAAAGTCATGGCAGAGCTCTCATCAGGGGAAACAGGAGAGGAGACTGGAGCACAGAAACCCATTTCTGCAACAAATTGTTAAGTAGTCAAAACGCTTCTTGTTAGAGAGATGCAATGAAGGATGAGTCACCAAACTGCAAAATATGCACTAACACAGCGAAACTCCCTTCGATAAAGTCCAGATCAAAAGCTGGAGCAATTAAAATGTTGCAACGTGTTCCAGCCCTTCAGCCCTGCAGCTCAACCTGCAGAGATCCATCGCCACATCTGCTGCTTGGCTCCAGGAGGCAGCAGTCGCTCAGCAGGCTCCTGGAGTGCCACCTCAGTGACTCTGAGGCCTTCTTCCATCCGTTTGTATCATTTCCTATCATCATACTGTGTTCCTGCCATCACCTCTCATCACCCCCTGTGTTTTCCTAACGGAGTATCAGACAAATAGTAACCTGATTGCTCTGATAATCTAGAATCACTATCCACGTTGGAGTCTCAGAGAATCAGGGCTGGGGCCCGTGTCCTTGCTTAACAGCTGTGTTGTTGGATATCTGATGCTTGTCTGGTGCTGGTCAGACAGAATGCAAGGAGCAGGGAGAGGCAGCAAGGAAAAGAAAGAAAAAGAAGGAGATTTTTGCTGGGACAACATCTGCATTGCTCCTATGGGAGCAGCTTTGGTGGCAGCCCCAGGAGCAGGCAGTGCTGTGCCAGCCCACGGCAGTGCTTGGAATGCTTAGCTCTCCTTCAGGTATCTGTCCTAATTCACAGTATGAAAATATTATCTTTCCTTCCATTCCTAGCCAGCTGTCTCCCCACCATGGATAATACATAAAACGGTAGACTTTTATTCATTAACATTTATGGGAAAATGTTAATATTAAACTGTAAGTGAAAAGCCCTATCTTATTGAATTCTTCTGCTGTGTTATTGGGAGCCTAATTACATTTTGCATTTAAATAAAAACCAGATGACGTTCAGGACGGTCAGGCAAGCATTCTGTAAGTGAGAATTTATCTTGCGATCTGGGTAAACAATGTCTCATCATTTAACAGTTATTATAAATAATGGGTTTTTAAGCACTTTGCTGGGAGTTCATATTGGCTCCACACGGGTTGCTCCGAGAGAATCTCCATGACATCTTCCAGGCATCCGGTGAGGAGGACTCACATCCTCAGCTCACGTCTCAGGCTGCAGCAGTTTTCATCCTGCTCTCCTCTTGCTGCACATTTCATGCACAGCCCCATCAGACCTTACACTGCCTGCTGCCTTTTTAGTGAGACGTTCTAGCTCGTGTTTCAAGATCACCCTGCAGTCAAGATAATGTATTCTGTGGGGATTTTTTAGTATTTATTTGTTATTTCCTTGGTCAGGGACTTTCTTAGTATCTGCCCAACACATGACCTCTGTGTTCACTTCAAAACCCTGTGGTGTTGTGAAAGACAAAGGGTCAGTGTCACTTCTCTGGCCGTTTCCAAAGACATTTTTCTAGGAAGTACACAGCAGTGTTGGCAGCCCCAGGTGAGCAGGATGGAAGCAGTGCTGGTTTCCCAACCAGCTTGAGATTCCCTCTGAAACTCCTGGTTTTCTCCTGTCCCAGAGCACAGCATTTCCATGGAGGGTATCTCCCTCCTGCACATACCTCACCAAGCAGCTCTTCCCACTGGCTGCTCCGTCTCTGAGGCCGGGCTGCCAGGTAGAAATGAGGCATGGTGGCAGTAATCAAAAGGCAAATTAACCCAGCAGCCTTCCTCCCTAATCTGGAGGCAGCAGTGGGCAGATGAACTGCGCAGGGACAGGTCCTTAACCTGAAATCCGGACTTGAGCTTCAGATGTCACTTCTGTGAAGACCCCATATTTATGTCTAACATCAGGATTTGAAGCTAAAAAATAATGCAGGGTGACCAAGAGCCCGAAGCGGTTCTGTGAGCAAGGAGCCCACCAGGTGGACTGTGGTTTTCCAGCTAATACCCAATGCAGGACTTTGATTTTAAGAGTGCACCTGCAAGCTCTGAGCACTTTGTAGAATTGGGTCTGTTCAGAAAACAAGTTTGTTTTAAGCAACGTCATCTTTAAAATAATTGGCTAAATAGACTGAATGAACTGGAATTGCTAGGATGTTTGGAGTTTCTCAGTGATGCTGATGTTCACAGGGGATGGAAGGGGGACAGCTATGCTCCATAGGTTCCCACCTGAGCTGCTGAAGTTGGAAAGCCCTGAAGTGCTTAGAGGAGCAGATGAGGCTCATCCTGGTGACATCATTTGTGTGGCTGCGTGCACTTCAGCACAGACCGTCTGATTTGGACCAGCTGGGCATCTGCTCCCCCCAAACATTCAACTTTTCCCTTTGAATCAAACCCAAATTCCGCTCCATTCCAGCTTCCTCATCATCATCCCTCTGCGCTGGGGAGACAGCCTGGAGCTGCACAGCAGCTTTCCTCACTGTCCAGAGATCCACTTTGTGTCAGATGTGCTACAAGAGGTGCCAGAATGATTTGCTTTGTAACGTTATACTTTTAAGATGAACTCAGCAATGCGTTTCTGTCAGAAGCACATAATCCTCCCAACACATGTGAGGTGCACACGGGGGCACGCACTGTTGTCCTCTCATCACCTTATCTTCCTAATGGCAAACTTAGAAGGAAATCCAATAACCAAGGCAACCTCACAAGAGGGGAAGAAATTGGTCTTAGACATGAAATGGAAAGAGATTTATCTCCTCCAGAACCCCCAAAGGCTGTGGGTGTCGTGGACTCCAGGCATGGTGTGTGCTGCGAGGCTGCTAGGTGTTGTGAACACACAGATTGCATTTCCTTCCTGCTTCCCTTTGTGGAGGCAGAGGCTGACAGAGGGGTCACTATTGTGCAACCCATGACCTGAGAATGAGAGCCCAAACCCAGGAATTCTAATGCACTGTTCTCTCAGTGATGCTTCTGGTCTGACCTACACAGATGTGCTGCTTGCGTAA